CCGCAAGTGCCATCTATGGCCGATGCTGAACACCAAAGAGTTCCACCAGAAACTGGTCTCCAGTGCGATCAAACCTGATGTTTGCCACATTATTCCTTTCAGTTTGAACAACAACCCCGCGACGGAGCCTGGCTCCTGATTGATTTTCGTGCTACGGTACATTCTACCTCCGTAAGACGCTGAAGACCTCTTTGAGCTACTTTTTGCCACCGACGACCAGGACGAGATTGTTCTTTGGTTATCGGACAAACAATGGAACATGTTGACTCTATCTCCCCAAGTTCATCGCTATGGGAACCATTATTACTTCGCTTTTAAGTGGGTGGGGTTCTTGAATCCCGATGTCATTGAGGAGACACAAACCATCCGTGAAAACAAATAGCAATAGGATGAAACTTGCTCCGATTGGTAATCCACCAAGGTAGTACTCTCGGACCGACTGAGACAGGGGCATCCAATAACGACGTGGATATATCAGCAGCGGGTTTCAGCGACTGCCTGTAGCTTGAGATCTGTGGTAAAACTAGCCTCTGTTGTGCGAACGTAATCCAGTATGATTGCGTCTGCCTCTGAACTGGGTGCGGTGACCACTGTACGTGCGGTAATCGAACCATCGGGTACCTCCCAGGGTGGGATTCCTGATATCAGCGCATTATATAATTGCAGCTGTCTCTTGTGGTTGATGAGAATAATAACCGAGGGCATCTTTGCCTCACTCCTGCCCTTGCAAAGAGCGATGGCAATCCTATGCTCCGGTAATGGATAATGATAGGATACTAAAATACTTTGTGTATTATCAATATGTAGCGTTAGGCCCATTTCCGCGTTGCTTTGCTCCTGTAAACCCTCGTCTTCTCCTTCTCCTTCTGCCTCTCGCTTGCTGATAGCAGGAGAGAAGTCTTGGTCGAGCCGCTAGCAGGCGACACGGGAGCCTTCTGTTCGAGTTTGACTGAGCTGGCGCGCTTGGTCAAACCGGCCAGCGGGCGACTCAGGGAGCTTTGATTCGGACACAACAGTCTCTGAGCAGATACGCTTATGTGCGGACTCGCCAGTACCTCTATAGGATCGCTTCCGTAGCGCAAACTTGTTGGCGGATGATGGTGTACCAACAGATGGCCCTGGAGGTTCGCTAAAACCTACTTGAGATATGTCGGGCCCTTCTTAGGTTATACAAATTTAAAAAGTGAGACAAATAGTTCAACCTTGAAGGAGGGTGAGGGGCGATACTTACAATGAGCCAAGGATCTTCCCATGTCCCATGACCTCAACGTTGAGAGGTCTTTAGGCGTGTAAGCCAGGCGTTGATCGCTTCAATAGTCGATACTGTTTCAGATAGCGTAATCGTTGTATGCGAGTATTGAACACGTTCTTCGCGATCAAATCTCAACAATCGTAGCTAGGCAAAGAAGTGTTTCTTCTCTCTAGACGTGAGTGACTCATAGGACCTGTTATCGAAGCAACGGGATTGTTTTTGTGAATCCATCAAGAATAAACTGAGGCCATAGAGGGCTAGATGTTTGGCCGTATTCATAGAAGAATCAATACTAGTTTCCATCCTAACAATAAAGTAATTATCAAACATCTCCATGCTTGGCAAACCACAAATTATGAATTTGGACACTGTAATAGGAAAACCGTCACGCCATTCTTTGTGTCACTCTCGAATTAAGAAAGGAGTGGGTGACATGAGAATGCTACTTCCCGAATGAATAAGTAGAATTTTCAGTTGTATAACAAGAAATACAGTGACAATATGTACTGTATTATCTCAAGTATATATTATTAGTACTCAATAATCTGATAATATTGCTCGCAGGCTTGATAATAAGCAGCTTATTGTTTGAGTGTCTCAATTTCAATGTCACCCACTTCAGAGAGTAGTGGCTATTGTGCGCCGCCGCACTTTCCTCATTTACAGGTGACCAAGAAGCCTCCGTGGCCTGAGGCCACATAATATTCATCCTATTATCTTCGTCATCCCTCTCGATCAAATATTTGACCACAATTCATTCGTTTCATCATTCCTGTGTGCGTAATTATTTGTGGTCATTGAGAGAGAAAGTTTCCTCCCCCGCTCCAACCTCACGGGCATCTACCATCAAGACAATGAGCTTAACATCATCCCGTATGATTTTCAGCTGCATGGTATCTTCACCGATCACTTCCGTTCCGGAGGTAGAAACAACAAAAATGCCAGAGCCGCAAATTTTTCTTTGGGAATTCCTACAGACCTTGAGGGTTCTGATGATCAAGTTCATCATAACGCCGGAAATGGTGCGGCTTTTCAGTGTCAGATGTTCCTCGTCGGAGGTAGGACTAGGACGAATGCTAGAGCTTTACTCGCAAGCTGTTCGTCATCACTTGGGACTCACAACTCGAAGAAGGCTTCCTGCGTCGTTCCAATCTCTTAAGCCATCTACGAGCAAGATAATAAGCATCTACGAGCAAGACAATGAACTCAACACCATCCCGTACGATTTCCAGCTCCATGGTATCTTCGCCTATCACTTCAGAGCCGGAGGGAGGAACAATAAGAATACCAAAAGCGCAACCTTTTCTCTAGGAATTCCTACACATCTCGAGGGCTCAGAAGATCAAACCCATCACAACTCCGGAAATGATACTGCTTTCCAGTGCCAGATGTTCTTCGCCGTCGCATTCCTGAACGAGACACAGTGCCAAGCTTACACCAACGGCAAAGAGATTTCGGATTTTCTCCCACCATGCTTCGCAGGATGACGTCGATGGCTCACAAAATCGAATTCACCACAATTCCGGGAACGATGCAGCTTTCCAATACCAGATGTTTCTGGCCGTCCCGTTCCTCAATAGGACACAGTACCAAGCTTACACCAACGGCAAAGAGATTTCGGATTTTCTCCCACCCTCTTTCACAGCTTATCAGGTCAATAAGCTACTTCCACACGTATCAGCACCAGAGCGGCCGCGTCCAGACAGCGTTGTGGATGACGAAGCCAAACCAGAAGCTAAATCTCGTTGCCTTGATTTACCTGGTCCATCTGCAGAGCCCCATGTCAATGTCGTGATGAATCAATCAGACATGGAATGGATTCCAAAAGATTGGATAATTGGAGATAATCAAACACTATCAATTCCTGAATCTCATTCGACAATCTCTTCAACATTTCGTCAAGTCTGGAGGATACTCGTCAGTATATACCGTCTAGGATCGGGTGCTTCCCAATTCTGTTCGAGAGACTGGTGAGCCTTCCTCTGCGACAAATCCAGTAACTTCGTCTGCCGTCAGGGACCGGGTCAAGTGCTTCCCTATCCTAGTCAAAAGACTGATAAACCTTCTTCCTCTTCAATAAATCCAGTAACTTCGTCTGCTGTCAGGGACCGGGTCAAGTGCTTCCCTATCCTAGTCAAAAGACTGGTGAACCTTCTTCCTCTTCGACAAAGCCAGGGGCTTCGTCTGCCGTCCAGGGTCGGGTGATTCCCAGTCCTGTTCGAAAGACTGGCGAATCTTCTTTTTCGTCGACAAAGCCAGTAGCTTTGTCTGCCGCCCGGGATTTCCTTCTCAGATGATCCAGAGGTCCGTCGCCTGTCACAGCGCGATGAACCACCAGGCGGTGATCAATCGGACACTGGCCCGGCGAACAACGTTCGAGGAGCTAATTGATACTGATGAGCTAGACGAGCTCATCGCCAAGTGCCTAAGCGAAGATATCTACAAGGGTATCCTCTTGAGGCAGGGGCATACGGAGGCGGAGCTCGTCTCCCGCCTCCGTATCTTACCTTAGTCAAAAGACGGGACCAACGAGTTCTTGAAGCACAAGAGCGTGAGGAGGGAGACTACTGGTGGGAATACCACGGAATTTCACCCAAAGACCAAGATCGAACACGTCATAATCTAAGTACGTGATATAGACCCTCGCCTACCCCGACCCAACTCGTGGCTTGCGTATGCCCTTTACGACTCTCCATGTGACGAAGACTGGACTGCAAAATCTGGTCGGTTGGTCTATCCAAGACATTATCCTTGGTCAAGCGGTTCGTCGTGCTTCTCGTCGAGAACTTTCCTGTCTTCCACGCCCAATGGGTATGCTTTAGCCGATACCTTCATGCTTTGCCATCCCTCAACAAACTCGACTCGCATTTTTCAGCTCTCAAGCGCCAAAGAATCATAAACGACTTCAGTAATGGCTTCAGCTATAAAATCAATAACGGGATCAGCAGCAAAGTCAGCAACTTGAGCTGCCATCATTTTATCAGCAGCCAAGTCAGCAACGGGACCAACAAGAACATCAGCAGCAGAGACAACAATTTAAGCTGCCTCTATTTTGTCAGCAGATACAGACAAGTGGCGCCTTGAAATCGCCATACTTTGCGTATCGCTGCCCTGGGAAACGAGGAATCAATGATGAAGTCCATATAAGTTTATACAGTTATATAACATGATCTCTCACCATTCCATCACTGAACGCAAAATGATATATCCGTATAGCGAAATGTTCATCGACCTCGTCAATGGGCTTGCGAGACATTTTTCCATTCCACCATTCTCGGCAGAATGATTCCATTCTGAACGGCCGTCGTAGGGCTAGTTGTCCGGTTCTTCTTTTGGATGTACTCGAAAGTCGTTGTCATTCTCTCACAATTGCCTGACTACCGAACTTCGAATTTTGCAGCGGAGCACGTTGTATAAGACTAACTCACCTCCATCGTTGCCTCGAAAATTCCCACATCGTCACTTTCCAATCTTGGTATCGGCGAGCCGTTGTGGGGGAGGACGATGTAATCCCCCGCCTGCCCAAACCGGCTCGCCGACAAACCCTTGGCATCACCAGGTGAAGATTTGCAGCTCAGCCATCAATTAGCCAGTATGATGAGCATGGTCCCCTCGCCTGTACCCAGACCCATTGATATGGGCTCGATTAGCTTAAATTCATCCCATGTTCCTCTTCCCTGTTGCCATCCTCATCCACCAGCCTAGTCCCCCCAAACACTCATCAACCTTGTCCCAGGAACTACACAAGATGGGCCTCAAAGTAGTCCCAGCCACCGAGGCCGACGCCAAGCGCGCCGTCGAGATCGAAGACGCCGCCTACGGGACATCCCCCATGAGCCGCGCCCTCTTCCCGGGGCCCTTCCCCCCGTCCACCGATGGCAGCCACCCGCGCGCGTCCAAGCTCGTCGACATACTCCGCGCGGACCCGGCGAACCGCTGGGTCAAGGTCGTGGACACCGATCTGCCCGAGGGGGAGGACATGATCGCCTTCGCGAGCTGGTTCTTCTGGACGGAACCCCACGTCCATGAGCCTGAGACCTGGCCGCCCGGCACCAATCCCGAGGCTTGCGAGCGGTTCTTTGGTGGGATGATTGCGAAGCGGAACGAGAGGTTCACTGGGAAGCCCTATTCTTGTATGTCTCATGACGGTCATCCCATCTTAATAAATACGGCTTGCTCGACCAACTAACATCGCTCGTCAAGACCTGAAGCTGCTGCACACAGACCCGAACCACCAACGCCGGGGTGCCGGCTCCATGCTTATCAATTGGGGCTTGGAAGAGTCCAGTCGCCTTGGAATCGATTCCTACCTCGAGTCTTCCATAGCCGGGCAGAGCCTCTACGCCAAGTGCGGCTTCGAGGTCGTTGATACTCTCGTGGTGGACCTATCACCCTGGGGCGGCCCAGCCGATGTCACTTCTCCTTTGATGCTGCGGCCGGTAAGCAAATCGTAAACGGTTATACAAATCGCATGTTGGCAGGTTTTACTAGATAATAGACGAATCTATATCTGTGAGTCAATGCTTCACAATACAAAGGATGGTCACATCTATACAGTGCATGGGGTCTTTTCATCCGCTTCCATGACATGAAATGTTACGTATATTTGTCTAGCTCAGTCTCTACCCCAACGCTAAAATGCAATTTTTGCTTTCGTCTTCTTCATATCTTCATTAAATGTAGTAATCATGCAACAGGATCACAACTTTGTACGGGCACCGACTTCTCACTGGGTGATGGGATCTTTCGGGGGAACTCTCCCGCCTCCCACTCCAATCTCTCCCTGACCATGCGTGCTTTACACCAGGTGATAGTGATAAGGCCCCAGACGAAGGTGAATCCGAACGGGGCAACCCAACAGACTCCGTAAGACCAGTCCTCGGGGACTTGGGGGATGACGGCAATCACCGTTAAGATAGCGGCGAAGATCAATGTGGGTATCGACCAGAACAAGGATTGCTCATAAAGCATCTCGCGGAATCGAGGGCTGGCCCGATATCTTGCTGCGAGAGCCTCACGATATGGCGCACCGCAGCCTCCGTTGACCGCAAGTGTGTCCTCGATGAAGTAATACACACCCGGAAGAACCTATACAAACACGAGTTAGCATTACTTCTTCTTGATCCATTGTCTTCTCGCATTGTAAACATACCTTTCCGCCCTTTGCGGTGGAACTAATACGGAAAGGGGCGGGAATGTTGAACCGATGTAGTAGAGTGATGGCCAGTAGGACGCCGCCATAGCACCAGAGAATAGACGGAGCAGCCATCGACACGACACGCAACCAAGTATCGTGCGGGGCGCTACCCACGATAAACAACGTCGTGACGACAGTGATTGTCAATGCGGAGGCCCACGTCAACATGTCTGCACACCAGCGGTTCGTCGTGCCAAGTGGGCGATAGAACCTCTCCTTCTTCATCAGGCGCAGCGTCCGGATCGCGAACTCGAGATACGTCGGCCCGCCCCAAATAGTCGTAACGATGATGAAGATGATGTACTCCTGGACGTCCCCCGCGTACTTCATGCCATAGTACAGCGCAATTGGCACGGCGGAAGCGTCGACGAACACGATGAAGGCGAAGAACCACAGCCGCCACCGCCGTCTCCCGTGGTGCCACGTGAAGGGCAGCTGCGGCAGCAGCTCCGGGTTGTCGTCGTAGTACTCCTCGAGCGTCTTCCCCCGCCTCTTGAACTCCCTGCGCGTGGCCGCCCTCGAGTCGTAGTATGCCTCCGCCTCGGGCCGCAGCGCGTACGACAGGCTCTTCCTCGGGGGCGCCTCGTCGACCTGGATGCTGCCCTTTCGCTTCGCCGCGCCGGGGCTCGTCGGTGCCGCCACGTTGCCGGAGGACGAGGGATTGTTACTGCTGCCCCGTCTGCCGAGGGCGAAGCTTAGGCGGCGAGGTGGCGCTTCGGAAACATGGTTGTCTGATAAGGTTAAGGCCTTCTGCAACGGCGTCGTGTTGGTAGCGGTGTTGTCGGAGGCATCGCTCGGGTGGAAGCCAGGGTCGGAATTCGACCTCTGAATGCTGCCATGCAGGACTTCAGGCATTATCGGTCAATGCGGATGGGCAAGCGCAGGGCCGCCGTCGGGTTTGTGCTGCGATGAGGACGATGATGGGGAAACAAGAGCAAGAGGAGGAGGAGAAGAAGGGAAAAGCTTAAAAAGGGGAGATGAGACAAAATGTTCTGGAGCTGGCGGTCATTGGAGACTCTTAGGGGCCGTGAGCTAGGAACATAGCGGGTTGGAGGAAAACGCCGGGCTGAAAAGATGAGATGGAGTCTAGAATGGGCGATTGATTCGTCACGGGCGAGTAAACTTGATTTGCACGGATACATAGGTACCTGGGCAGTCGACGACGCTCGGGATTCGCATCTACTGAAATACAGCTAGTGCCGACGTGTTTGTTTGGAAGGGGACGGGGTTGCTGGGCCGGGCCCTCTTCGCTCGGAGGCTACGGCATCATGGATGACATCGCGCTGCAACGACAATCACATTGTCCTCGTGTTGGGCAAGACGTCATTGAAAATGCGGCAACTTCTGCTCCCTGTCTGAGGTGGTCTGTTCGCGCATTGCATCGGGCCAATCAGGAATAGCATGCGTTGTTGTAATAGTGACTAATCAGCCTGCGGCCAGTGAGGGCCCAGTGCCCATGCAGGGTGCTATAGGGCGCTGGCTGGCAGACAGGGTCCCCTGGGCCGCCTAGACCATGCGCCCGCCAGTGGTGGTCCCCAGCATGTGGTCATCGGGGTCGGGCTTGAGCTGCCTGCCGGTCGGTCCAGCGAGGGTCCAATGCCGTGGTGGGTTCTAGATACATCGCGAGGTACCTGCTGGACCCTTCCCTCCCACAACGTCACTCCTCGGTCAGATCGACGATGGCTTGGCCATGCCACAGTCAGGACATTCCGAGTCAGATCATTGCTCCATCCTACTTCCGCGGTCTACACAACTTGTCCCACTTGAACGCGACCTAAATCAAATCCGCTCCCCTGATTCAAGCTTAATCAGGCGCCTTCATGCATCCTGATCCGTACCATCCGCCGCCCCATGACAAGATATCGGGTCAAGTTAGCCCTCTGGGTCCCATTGTTGGTTCTCTTCCAGGGGATCAACAACTCGTGCCTATCCGTCGACTTGCTTCTCGGGATAAGCTTAATTTTGTAACATCTTTGACGTATTGCCAAGCCAAAGTAGGACATGATCCCCTCCTCCTCCAAGCTTTCAACGTCAAAGATCGACACGAGTTGGCATCCCAAAAAACTGGCCAAGTTGCCAAGGAGCAAATCCGTGAGTAGTGGGAACATCATGTTACATCTGGCCCGCCCAGCCAAGATAATGTTCCAAGAAAAAGGCGATGTGAACGCATCGCCGAATACCTACGTAGCATAAGACACCCTGATGAGCCTTTACAATCGAAGTTGCAGACAGAGTAAATAACTAGTGAAAGAAGAAATGCTACAATAAACGAACAATAAACAATCTTATTACATATTGTCATGATATTCAACTCCTTATTGTGTTGATAGTCTGTCGGGTTAGAATGCGATGGCAGCCTTGCGTTCTACGCCACACATGTTGGAGTTATCACTTGACAGCGGCCCATATTCAATGATTTCGCTAGGTACGCTGATAAAATGCATTAGAGGCAACGACTGCACTAAAGGGTATCGTGTCATCTTTCCTCAACAAGAACTAAAGTTTCACCCACACGCAAAGCACCCATCCTCACTTTCTAGGCACATGTCCTATATCCACTCATCCTCCCATGATAGCCAGGGCTTCAAACCAAACAGCAACGAAATAGTACGAGAATTAATGCATAGGTTTTAATATATAATGCTCCGAAATACCAACTGTGAACCTCCCATGCCACATATGTGTGCACTGGGCCAGGTCGCTGCTCATACAGACGACTTGGTATCAGTGATTGTGTTCAGCATGGCCAGATTCCGATCTCGCATCTCGCGGTCGAGGGTGAGGACTTGCTTGGCCGTCAACCTTGCACTACTTAGCTAAATTAATGGAAAAAAGCACGAGTTAGCTTGTATTCATAAACATCTCGGTGAAGGAAACCACCCGAAGGACGGCTGGCATCATGCAAGGGGCGTTCGCACCAAGGCCAATCCGGCGGAACTGTGATCTTTTTCGTCTTCCTCACCTTCCGCTGATACCGCGTCGTCGTCGTCGTTGGAGTTTGCATATCTGCTATCTGCAAGACCCTTGGCCTTAGCAGGGGCGGCGAGAGCCTAGATCACATAATCCGTTAGTGTCACACTAGTAACATGCGCGCCGGGGAGGCTTGCGCTTTCATACCTTAGCCTCGACAACTTCGGCTTCCTTGACCTTCAGTACTGCTTGAAGCTCCTCGACCTTCTTCTCCAGTCCTTGAATTGATGACGTCTTGCCTTGAATCTGGGTCTCAAGCTCCTTCAGCTTGCTCTTGGCCTCATCTGCCTCCTTCCTAGCGTCCTCAACCATGGTAGTCATACTATCGTTGAGGTCTTCGTAGTCGGCCTTGGCCATCTTGTTCTTGGCATCGGCTTCAGCCTTGAAAGCTTCCAGATCCTTCTGCGACAGCTCGAGGTCCTCACGGACGTCGGAGAGGTTAGCATGGACAGTGCCAAGCTCAGTCTTGGCCGCCGCAAGGGCATCCTGAGCATCCTTCAGCTGGGTCTCCTTTTCAGCCAGCGTGCTCTCATGTGCTTCCTTGAGTGTGGCGTATTCCTTCTTCAATGCATCCAGAGCGGACGTGTCAGGCTTGGCACTCTTCGCTGCGTCAAGCTCGGCAAGCGCGGTCATCCTTTCAAACTTCTCCTGCGCAAGCTGGTGGCTGAGCTCATCAACCTCAGCTTGTGCGCTGTCGAGAGTCGATTGGACAGTCTTCAACTGCTCACCAAGCTTATCACGAGCATCCGTGACAGCGGAAAGCTTCTCCTCAAAGGATGCATCCTTGGATCTGTACTCAGTCATGAGATCGTCAAGAGACTTGGTGTGAGATGCCGCGAGCTCCTCAAGTTCTTTCTTGGCGTTGACTCCCTCCGACTTCAAGGCCTGGATTGATTCAGCATTGAGATCAATCAACTTCTCAATCTCCTTGTGGTGCTGTTCCTCAAGCTCCAACTTAGCACTGTCCAGAGCAATTTCAGCGTTCCTCTCGATCTTCTCAACCTCGGCTTGGGCTTCCTGAAGCTGAGCCAGCAGTTTGGCCAACTCAGCTGCGTGCTCAGTCTTGCTCTTCTCACTTGCTGCTGTCAATTCAGATCTGAGGGCAGCGAGAGCGTCATCGTGTGCCTTCTTGTTGCCCTCCTCAGCCGCAGCATATGAAGCCTTGAGACCAGCAAGCTCAGCGAAGTGTGCCTCGCTTCCTGCTTCGCGGGCAGACACAAGCTCTGCTTGGAGCTTTGCTAATTCGGAAGCATGAGATTCGCTAGCTGCCTTGTTAGAATCAGCGTGCTCAGATGCAAGGGAAGCCAGCTGAGCCTGGAGAGTGATGAGCTCGGCAGCACGCAGCTCCGTCTGTTCTTCCGCGACGGCGAGTTTGTCCTTGAGGGCAGCGATCTCGGCAGCATGTGCTTCGCCGCTTGCTTTGTTCGCATCAGTCTGCTCAAGTCGAAGAGCCTCGAGTTGAGACTTGGCTGCGTTTGTCTCCGCAATCTGCGTCTCCTTTTCATCCTTGGCGGCTGCAAGTTCCTTCTTGAGAGCAGCGAGCTCCTCCTTGAGTGCACTTAGCTCCGCAGCATGCGCCTTGTCGCTGGCCTCCTTTGCTTCCGAGAGTTCGGCCTTGATGCTGGCAAGTTCAGCGGCATGAGCTTCGTTTCCAGCCTCCTTAGCTGCTGTAAGCTCGGCTTGAAGGGCAGCAATAGCGGCAGCATGTGATGACTCTTTCTCCTCCTGAGCAGCAGAAAGCTCAGACTTGATCTTTTCCAGCTCAGCAATGTGCGCCTCGTCTCCAGCTGTCTTGGCTGAGGCTAACTCTGCCTTGATGTCAGCCAACTCCTTCGCATGAGCACTGTCTCCGGTCTCCTTGATCGACGACAGTTCTGCGGCGTGATCGGCTAGCAGTTTCTCCTTCTCTTCGGCGCTGCTCTTCGTGAGGCCTTCGATGACTTCAGCGTGGGATGCCTTGAGGGCTTCAAGCTCCTTCGCCAATCCAGACTCGCCCTCGCTCTTCAACACCTCAAGCTGCTGAGCGTGGCTAGCCTTGAGAGAATCGAGTTCGCTCAATACAGCATCCTTGTCGGCCGAGGCACTGTTCTTGGCGGCTTCAAGCTGCTCTGCGTGGCTGGCTCGAAGAGCTTCCAGGTCCTTCTGGTGTTCAGCCTCCTTAGCCTCCAGTGCGGCCACGGCACTGGCATGCTCGGCCTTGGCAGCTTCAACTGCCTTGGCATGGCTCTCCTCAGCTTCAGTTGAGGAGGTTTGCAGCTCAGTGTGCTGACGTTCCAGGTCCTCAAACTTGCGCTTAAAGAACGCGTCACCTCGGAGGCTCTCAATCTCGGTCTCGTAGTCCTGAGTGATTGACCTCATGCGCTCATCGTGGATACCCTTGAGCTTGGTAATTTCTTCGTCCTTGGCAGCAAGGGTGGTCTCAGCCTCGGATGCCTTGGCCTGGACAGCTGCAAGCTCATCCTGGGCCTTCTTCAAGTCATCCTGAGCAGCAGCGAGTTCCTTCTCCTTCTCAGCAAGAGATCCTTGGAGGGTCTCGATCTCGGCGCCGATGGACTTGATATCAGCCTGGGCCTTCTCGGCCGCGGTATCGGCAGCATCGAGCTTAGCCTTCAACTCTGCGATTTCGCCTTCGAGTGCAGCAACCTGGGCGAGGTGAGCATCTTGCTCAGATTTGGCCTTGTCGCCACTGGCAGACTCCAAAGCAGCCTGTGAGGCAGACAAGTCGTCAATCTTCTTTTGGAGCTCGGCAAGAGCTGCATCGTGCTCTGACTTAAGTGCTATGATCTCGGCCTCGTGCGATTCACTAGATGCCTGGCCCTGACCAAGCTCCTCCTTGTGCTTAGTCTCAAGCCCCTCTAGGGCGGCCTTTTGCTGTTCAGCAAGGGAATCCTTCAGCTCTTGAATATTTGCGGCATGCTCATCAGCAGCCTTCTGCAGTGCAGCGTCGCTGGCTTGAACCTTCTCGGCGCTCTCTGTCTGAACAGTCTCGAGAGATGCCTTCAGAGCCTCGATTTCGGACTGGAGGGCTTCCTTCTGGCCAACTGCCTCCGACAGATCAGTCTTGTGCTGCTCGAGCTCTGCTTGCGCGGCCTCGAGCTTTGCCGTGGTCTCAGAGAGCTGGCTCTCAAGTGTTGAGATGGCGGATTGCTGGTCAGCCTTCGCATCGTCCCCATTGGGTTCGCTGTGGCTCTGCTGCTCCGTGAGAGCAGCAACTTTATCCTCCGACTCCTTGACCTGGGTCTTGAGGGCCTCGATCTCAGCCTCACCCTCAGCGACCTTGGCCTTCAGCTCCTCGATTTCCTTGGCAGATGCCGCCGAGGCGTCGGGCTTAGCGACGGTTCGGGCAGTAGCGGTAGTTCGAGTCGTAGGTGTAGGAGTTCCAGCAGTGGATAATCGCTTCCTCGCATCAGTTGTAGATGGGGCCGTTCCAAGTCGGGAGGTGGCAGTTCTTGTTGCGGTTGTGCCCGTCGTAGAGGTTCTCGCTGCCGTAGTCGAGCGAGGGCTGCTAGTACTGGTCGCAGTTGCAGTTGCAGGCTTGCGAGCAGCAGCGGTGGTGCTCGTGGGGGTGGTCTTGGTCTTGGACGGGCTAGATAGCAAGGTGCTTGTCCGTCGAGACGAAGTCGTTGTTGTAGACTTCTTCTCATCCTCGCTCGCACTGACGCTGGGTCGGCTACGGTGGCTGGTCGTGCTCGAGCTCGTCGTTGGGCGGTTCAATGTGCTGCTAGCCGCCGGGCGCGTGAGCGGCTTGGCAGTTCCAGCAGTTGCGGTACGCGTAGTGGTGGTACCGGTCGTTCTCGCTCCCGTGGTTGTAGAAGTTGTGCCAGGACGGCGAGTCGCTGTGGTTGAGCTCGTGCTCAGGCGCTTCGACGCTCCCGTGGTTGCTGTCTTAGCCGCCGGGCTGGCTTTGGTGGCCGGAGAAGCGGATTGGGGTTTGGTGGTAGCTGGAGACACCGGCGAAGCTTCCTGGGGGACTTCATCGCGTTGGACGACTTCGAATCCCTCGGTCTCAGACATGTTGAATCAGACAGCGGGACGCAGTTGCAACTAAAATTGAAGCATGAGCCAACTTGAATTCAAAGGCAGAGCGCAATTGGAAATAGGCCACAGCATGAACCAGAGGGGAAGGGGTCGAGCGATAAGCACGGGGTAGCGACTCACACACTAATTTCACCTCAGATGCCTCCTATTGTGTCGATCGCAGCTCGCCTCTCCTGAAAGAAAAGAGCGCCAGTCCTTGATGAAGACACGGAAAAAGGGACCTAATATCAGATACCTGCTAAGTCGAAACCCCGCGCGCAGAAGAACCAATGAATGAGGCAAGCAACGAGTGTTCTTGAGGTCAGGGGAACTTGGAGAAGAGGCCAAGGTGTGATTTCGCGCGCGAGGCGAGCAAAGGGGAAGTCGCCCATCTCAACGCGCTGCACGCCCGTTGGAAAAGTCAGCGCAGGGTGTTCGTCGAGCGCTGCCCCACTGCGCCACAGGGGTCGAGTGGCACTAAAAGTAGCTCACCCCCGCTGTCTTGTAGCACCGATGCACCCATCATGCACGAGGATGCACAGCTAATTACCACCCGGCAGGTTCGCCTCACATCCATCCATCCCATCCATTGTCCAAGGCGGCCGGGCGGTTGGTCGAGCACGAGCTGGGCATCACCACCTCGCATCCCAAGCACACGACAGCTCATACCGGTCCATCCAGCCATCTGCCCATCTCTCTACCGGTCGCCCTCGCCGTTTCACCACCATCCAAAGCTGGCTAGCATAAATCACTGATCCTTCAGGGGTACGTAATATCGAACTTTACCCCCAGCCCCCGTACGGTTATTCCTAGCTTCGGGTTTATCCTTGCCCAAGCTGGAGGGGCAGGAACTTTGAAGGCGAGCCATTCAGATTCGCACGATCCAGTATCTACCTTGAAAGCAACATGTCGGGTATTGATGCCCTGGTTCAGCCGAAAGCTCGCCTATCAGCTCCCTGCTTGCTGAGCATGCAGGTGCTGGCCTACTTGGTAACCTTTCCCATCAATCCAAACATCATTTATTATAGCGTTTTAATTGTCAAAAATGGACTAAGTCAGTCCTTCAGAAATACAACCACACACACACACCAGCTCAGGTTCCGGCTCGACAAACGCCCATCCTTAGGGAGGTATCCTGTAGGAACCTGTATGTACCCTACCTATCATCAATCAGGCGGGTCTATCCGCCAACGAAGTGGTGCCACATCAGCCGCCCAAGCAAGCTGTGGCACGACCTAATTTGCGTGTTAGCTTCACGACATGTATTGGTGCAGGTATGTCAAGCTTGCAGCGCCAGCACATCAACGGAAAGCCGGGGTATTTGCGAGTTTGAACGCCTCCAGGGGGCAGCTTAGGGGTTCTATGGAAATCACGGTGGCGTGTTGGTCACCAAACTAATAACGAGGAGCTTCGAGGTGGGTAAGGAGTGGCTCCTAGTGCTTCTCGACTACGAGTTATCATATGTTTAGGCACGACATGCTTTCACTCCCGATGCCGGTCAGATAGTCCCCAGATCGGGAAAGCCGGCTCGACAGCTACCCCATAGCTAAAGCAGGTGGTTGGTTTGTAAATCAAGGGTATCATTCTAACTCCAAAAGCGAGAACCGCGGTAAGCTAACGCAAATCATCCACTCTCAACACCACTTCGGAAGTATCAACCCACGCTCCTTATAGAATTTGCGCGACGTTTCCTTGAGCTCGCCTATCTTCTGTCTTATCTCTTGCTCGTTTCGTCCCGGTAGTTGTTCTGTTAAATCCACCGGGCTTAGCTGTGACGTCGTGCGAATCAGTGTAAGGAGAATATTGCTCTCTTCATAGGACCAAGAGACTTTTTGGCGAGCTTCGCCCTGCGGTAGACTCTGGCTTGGCTGACTACTGGCCGACCGCTCCTCCTTCACCCAACGGTTCTGTTTCTGGCTGCGTTTCCGATCTCCGTGGGCATTAGAGGCTGGATCAACTTCAGCCAGTCCCTGTGAAGTTGGCATCTGAGTAAATTGGTCTTCGTCTGCATCCTTGTGTGTCTGTTCGTGACCTTCTGCTTCCTGGCTGTGGGAATTCTGGGTCGATGTTCGAGCCTGGAACGCTTGAACAGATGATCGAAATAGTGCCATGCGCCGCTCGACCGCCTCCTCCTCCATTCTCTTTTTGTCTTCTCGCTTCTGCCGTATCCGTCTATCTTCTTCCATAGCCTCCCTCTTTCTCTTTGGCCTATTAGCCTCTTCCTCCAACTCCTCGTATGCTTTTGTAAGACTGGTTGCAAATTTCTTGATGTGCCGGTTTGGTAATTTGAGCTGGCGGAGTTCTTTGGATATTTCTTGAGATTCTCTACGTCTCGTTGCAGTATCCGCGTTCTCACAAAAGGGTGGATTGACTTCCAGCTCATCAATCATCGCAAGGCGCAGTCTTTTTACCCAATCCATAATCTGACGCAGTACCCAAATTGCAGAAATAGTAAAGGTTCCCCTTGAAGGCAGGGCTTGAGAACTGCCACCCGTTTTCTCTTGGCTCCCCGTCATAAAGACTGACTTTGCTACCAACAGGAGCAGAGGAATGATTTGACTCCGCAAGATTTCTGCAGTATTGGCAGCGTGCTTCCTTTCGTCTGGCATCTTCGACAGGTCGTCATGTGCCTTGTTGCATACTTTATCGACCGTAGATGGGATATAATGCATCAAATCGCCAAACCTCTCGGCATACTTCTTATGAACACCAGACGTCTGTTGGTCCATACCATGGACCGAAGGAGCCTTTTGGTAGAGGAGCCATAGGTTGTGTATGAACATTAGGAGCCTTTGACATCGCTCATTCTTCACCTTTTTTTTGTGTACGCGTAACCATATTGCTTGGTCTTCGTCTTCTCCTATGAACCCTTCTTCCCATTTGTTGCCATGGGCTGTCCATTCATGCTTTCCCATGGCCTTCAAGAGTGAACAAAGGCTCTCTGAACTGACCGTTGTGGTTATGGTTTCTCGTCCCTCAACCGCTTGATCAAAGTATGTCTCGGTTTCATCGCACTGCTTCTCTGGTAATTGCGCTCCCGATGTGTGGTCGCCTTGCTCTTTCGGTTGGACGCGATTTAGGTCCACCTGTTGATCAGCCCATGGAGGGCACAAAGTTTCATCGGGTAAAGATTCAATAAATCTTGCAACCCGGTCTTCAGAATAAGGATCGCTCATAATCGTTATGCGCGCCAGGTCCAGCTCGACTCTTCATGCGCCAGCCTAGGGGCTATTCTGCGCATCGCAAGGTGAGATTGTGTAACTGCAAAGAGGTCGCGTAGTTTCGCGCCTGCCCGTGTGCCAAGATTGGCCCAAGCTTGACCTACCTACCCTAGAGCGATGCTTCCAAAGCAGAATCAGGCACCGTTAAAACAGCCCGTATTAGTTCACACAGGATAATGATGTAAAAGTACATTCAATCCGTGTGAATAACTTAATACCTATTTGATAGTTTGGCGTGGTTTCACACTACCCATATGTAAATACCTGACTTTGCTCCATTTCCTTCTTGTGCTGACTAACTTCACGTCATCACGCAGAGGAGCTTGGCCAAGTAGGTAGCTACCCAAATGTTGCAGCTAAGCTATCCACCTTCAGCTCTCTTGTACAAAACTTTCCTCAAATAAAAATAGTAGCACCATATAAAACCAACACAGAGTACCTACAGCCCCCTGTGTTGATCATTCGCTCAAACTACAACCACAAGCCATGGAGCCTCCTCAAAAGCCCGTGGCTCCACCAGCCTTGCCAGCCTTACCCACGCTCAAGCTACTTGACCTGTCTAACCTGCCGCCTTTCTCAAAGCCGATCAAGCGAATCAATGATGGCCCAGACGTCTCTCGCTTCCTCAAAAGCTTGGCATACAGGGACATAGGAATATTCATCCTCCAGCTCAACCATGCTCTCGTCCCTCGTCACCAGCCCAACACCCCACTACCCCGCGTCTTCCCTCTACCCTCCACCAACACAGTTTCAAATACACAGTCCATCCGAGCTCTGCAGCAACTGCTCGAGGTGGTCGAGTCATATCTCGACGAGGCACCACCAGACCCTGGCCCAAGACGCTTCGGCAATGTGAGCTTCCGAAAATGGCACGGACTCTTGGAGGAGCGCATCGACGGCCTTTTAGACGAGGGAAGGCTGGGCGAGACGCTGAAGGTTGGCAACGGCCAGGCAAAGGAGGAGGTTTCCAGCTATCTCCTGGGATCTTTTGGAAGCTCCCAGCGCCTCGACTACGGCACCGGGCATGAACTTAGTTTCCTCGCTTTTCTGGGAGGACTGTGGAAGCTGGGTTTCTTCCAAGATGGGCAGCAGCAGGATGGTGAGATCGAACGAGAGATTGTTCTCTCAGTGATTGAGCCGTGAGTATCTGCATCTCACTTTCATATATACGCGCCTGAGCTAACTTAGCCCAGATACCTGAGAGTTGTGAGAAAGCTCATCCTCACTTACACCCTCGAGCCCGCTGGCTCGCACGGCGTATGGGGCCTCGACGACCACGCCTTCATGCCGTACATCTTCGGCTCAGCACAGCTAACCCGCCCGATCAACTCGAACGAGGCAACCCCCCTGGAAGGCTCCGTCCGCGGCGCCCCCCGTCCCGCCGACGTGACCAAGCCCACCGCCGTCGAGGACTACCGCAAGGTGAACATGTACTTCTCGGCCATCGGGTTCATCAACGACGTGAAGAAGGGCCCCTTCTGGGAACACTCCCCCATCCTGTTCGACATATCGGGCATCAAGGACGGCTGGGGCAAGATCAACAAGGGCATGATCAAGATGTTCAACGCCGAGGTCCTGTCAAAGTTCCCCGTCGTCCAGCACTTCACCTTTGGCGAGCTCTTCTCGTGGGACCTGGACCCCGAGGCCGCCGAGCCCGCGCAGAGCGTCCACATGGCCAACCAGCCCATAGTCTCTGCCGCCGTCGCGGGCACGTCAGGGCCCCCGCCGCCAGGAAGTGGCACGGGAGCACCGTGGGCCCAGGCGACAAGGATGCCGCCTGCATCGTCGGGACCTGGGATTCCTTATACCAGAGCACCCCCAGGACCAAGCTCCGGATCTTTGGGTGCGAGGCCCACTGGGAGGTCATTTGGCGGTGAGACCACGAATGCGCAGATTAGTGTTACGAAAGCGCCGTGGGCCAAAGACTAAGGTGTTCGCGATATCAAATCCATAATATTCATGTATTCAGCGCCGGAAAGAATGAGGGCTTGATTGATGAATTAAAAATCACTCTTCTTCATTCAGTTTTCACGAAATGAGAAAAATAAGAAGCATAGCATGATGATATGAGGAGCAATCAACTTCAATGAAGACTATCAAGGGTATATATTTAGGTATATGGTATCGCTCGCAACATCCTGTTTTCTCAGGGGGTATCCAACCATCCGTAGTCGTAAGATGTAGGATAAGTAGCCAAAGCCAAACCTTTAGACTTTCGAATCCAACCAACGATGGTACAGAACTAACAACGGTATATTATCGTTGTTCTCGACATCGAAACAGCAAAAAGAAGAGAAGAAGAAAAGCCAAACGAAAACAAGCATCAATCAATCGTGGTCAGCACATTAGGAGGTGGCGGCGGGAGCAGCAGGGGTGGCAGCAGCTGTAGCAGGGGCGGCGGCGGGAGCGGCGGGAGTCTCCTCCTTCTTCTCAGCGGTTTCCGGAGCCGGGGCGGCAGCGGGTGTCACAGCAACAGCTGTCGTTTTGTTAGCTAGGCTGAGCTTTCTTTCGGTCCGCCTGCTTATATCAAAGTAGGCTACGGTTTGTTCTTACCAGGAGCTGGGGTCTCGGTAACGGTAGGAGCAGCAGTGGGAGCGGCCTCGGCCTTGACCTCGGGGGCGGCAGCGGGAGCCTCGGTGGTGACGGGAGCAGCAGCTGGGGTGGGCTCAGGGGCGGTGGCTTCTTTCGAGTTAGATCAATGACCACTTCCTCAGAGAGGGGGGCGAGGGGTAACACCGTTCACTCCGCACTTATACAAGCCGGATTCTACAGCATTTCGGGTTGAACGTACTAGCAGGAGCTGTAGCCGGTGCTGGGGCCTCTTCCTTCTTGGCCGTCTCTGGAGCAGCAGGCGAAGCGGCAGCAGCTACAGCAGCAGCAGCATCAGGAGCAGCCGCAGGTTCAGGGGCGGGGGCAGTCTCGGTGGGCTTGGCCTCGGGCTTGGTTTCTTCGGCCTTGGAGTCTGCGGGCTTGGTCTCCTCAGTCTTGGTTGCTTCAGGCTTGGTCTCGGCAGGCTTGTCATCCGCGGGCTTGGAGTCCTCAGGCTTGGAATCGGCGGGCTTGGACTCGGCGGGCTTGGACTCGGCGGGCTTCTCAAACTTCTTGGTGAAGGCGGCCTTGAGCTTGGCCTTCAGGTTGTGAAGAGCATCGAGAGCTGGATCGGGACGGTTAGTTCGCGGAACATGCTATTGCCTCGACAGAAACATTGACTTACGAACACCAGGCATCTTGGCGGTAGGATGTAAGAAGCTTCGAGGTTGGCAGGAGAGCTATTTGGAGATGGTGGTTAGCCTTGAGCTAGCGCTGGAGATCGATTGATAGCAATTGGTAGGAGGGAATCAGGTGCTCCACAGATGTCAAGTGTAGGTTGTGAGATACAGGACAGAGGGTAGTAGCACGTACTTGTTTGGCTCGTCTTCGTGGAACGATGATACGATAGGGGTGAACAGAGGTGGTGGAGGGGATAGGAATAGAGGGTTGGGTGTCCAGCGTAGTATTAACTCAGGGACAAGACGCAAGATAACCGTCCGACTAGGTTAAGCTGCAGGCCATCCGCGGCTAAAAGAGCACAAGGCGCAATGAGGTCTATGTAATTTCCAGGGCCTCGCTTGGAAATTTAGGGCCACTGGAGCTAATGTAACCCCGTGATTTCCAGTGGGTGGGTGCATCATTAGTTGGCTCCCTCCCACGAAGAGCCCCGCGCTTTAATGAGAGCAGGGGCGGTGCGTCAGATCCAGTGGCTCGTAGATAACCTTCATTAGGGACTTGCAAATGCGGATATCGTTGAAGGATGGAAAGCTAGCCATTCAGACGGTGGAGCTACTCGCTGTAGGAATCCAGGACCCTCTCACCTGAATGTCGTTCGGTATGTCATGCGAAGTCTTGAAGGTTCCAACCACTTTTTCAGGGTCTTTTCAGGAGGAGTCGGTGGCGCGATGACGACGGTGGATGACTGACTTGCGTTGGTAGCTTAGCCGTACCGCCACATTCCGATCTCTAGCTCCAACGACACTTGGCAATGCCAATTCAGGCAGGACTAATTTCGGAGATTGTTTGCTGAAGCTGCGACGATGGTACAGTAATAATTCCTGTCTTCAGTTAGGGTAGTGCGGCACAGCGAAAGACGTAGGACTTATTATGACAAAAAAACGCTATCTTACAGATTGCCTCGATATTATTTTGATATCGGTTCTGCTTTCCTTGCTGTTTAGCTATATAGCATGCTATTAGGGATCATCAGATATGAACAAGAATGGCTGCTTGGTCTAGTGGTATGATTCCTGCTTTGGGTTTAGCCTCGTTTGCAGGAGGTCCTGGGTTCAATTCCCAGAGCAGCCCTTCTCTTTTGCTTTTTTCCCTCTCTCTTCTAATTCCTCTTACCTGTTGGTAGCTCTGTTCCCCTCCAGATATGGATGATGATTTTTATTTTTATTTTTATTTTTATTTTTTTTTGACTCGGACTGTCTATCTTTGGGTGATTGCAATGACGTGGTATGTAATAATACCGAATGAGCGTGTATTGGGCTCCGCCCGCAAACGCCTTTGACGCTTCTTTGGGAAAGGTTGGAGGGACGAGGACGAAGAGGCCAATACACACGGGTAGACAGACTTCTACGTCACTGATTGAACGAACACGATGGGCCTTATGAACCCACTGGCCTGCTCAGGTGGGTGACAGGAGAAATGGAATACATAACAGAGGAGTGATCGTGAATAGCCTACTTTCTAAGATGAACCCAGAAATTTAATAGTACAAAAGAGAATAAAGCGACAATATATACCGTATTATCTCTCAATTATGTATTATTGGCACACAATAGTTTGACAATACTGGCCGCAGACTCGATAACAAGCAGCTTAATGTCTTGAGTATCTCATCTTCAACATCATCCACTTGCTACTGTACCAAGTCACCTTTCTCTCCTCCTCGAGTACTCAATCACCCAATCATTCTCCCAGTCTTCGTTACACACTTCTCCACGTCTCGAGTCTCGGCCATACAATCAATTTCCCATTTGGTGATACAATGTCTATCAATATGCCCACCCCTGTTCCGAAATTCGAACCCTACAAGAAGTTGAGTGGCCCCACGACACCCAAGACCCCTTAGTATTGGGCCAAGGATCTGTTGAAAGGAGAGTAAGTAAAAACATGTCCCAACTTGAACTACTGCCGGTTCTAACGCCTTATCATCTACAGACTCAAAGATAAATATCCTCGCTTTTGGGGTCCTCCAAACCCACCATTCTCGCGTCCTCCGCCCGAAAACTTATGGGATGCCATCATCTCGCATGGTGATGGTATCCTTGTAAGTTGGGATTTGGAGACGCTTTGCCGGTAGAAGCTAAATGTGAATGGAGTTCGCTACTCTCCGGTTACTGAATTGGGTATTTCACACATCGATTTCCGCGAGTGTCGCGATGGGATCAGGTCGTCAAACCCAAACAAAGTTTACTCTACTCCACCGACTTTGAATAATGCTGGCGATCGCGGTATTAATATGTTCAAACGGATCCGCAGCGATCACTTTATTTCCGACGAGTATCATGATCATAACGGTACAGATTGCGGCGACGAATACCATAAGTCAAGCCCACAGGCCTTCTTATTCGGCAAAAGTTCATATGTTCAAGAGTCGGACCTCCCCGCAGTACTCCTGGTCAAGTTACGAGATTTGTCGAAGCGTGACCGTACAGAGGATGAGAAAAAGCACAAAATTCTTCGCAAGTTGTTCGTCATGACTTGGGACTCCCAATTGAAACCAGTGGCCAAGTCTAGCCACAGGATCGAGGAGTCGTAGCAGGATCAGTCTGCTGGTGTATAAATACTACCTAAGGGAACAAAAAAGCTAGAGTTTATCATTAAATTGACGGAAATGTGAGAACACGGAACTGCTATGAGATTGATGGAATCGTGATGGTATGGAATAGTGAAGGTCGACGGGCGATATCAAAAGGAGCGAAATGATTGGTGGGATTTGATCCGATATTAGTATCTTGGTATTATGTTCACTCGGGACGAATGAATCTTTTCAAAAGGGGACAGTTTTCCTATGGCCGTGTAACAACTGCCCCCTTTGAAACTCCCACACGACCGTCATTACACATGTATATCCAGGACTTCCAGCGTTGAATTTCAACACAATATCAAGAAAATTAACCCAGTAATAAGCACAATACCGAGCTAAATATTATAGAATAATTAATTTATTATTAAACTTAGTGTTATTACTCAGACAATGGGGGCCCTGACTTGGGTGAAAAAGAGATTTAGTATGCCATATGTAACGTCGGTCGCTTGCCACCTCCCTGATAAGTTATACCTTGGACCTCGCCCATTATCGCCATTGGTATTTACCATCTTGACATAGGGTGCTTAATGGGAAGGAGCCAACTTAGTAGGTACCCAACGATATGATGCTTCTGGAGTGATTGGTATACAGAGAACCTCTCCCTGGTGCAGCCGACATGCACCAACTTGTGGAGTTGGTTGCCTTCCTTGTCCATTCCTGTACAGACAAAGTATACGTAAGGCGAAACGATGTTTGTGTCTTCGTTTTCTTTATGGGCCTTGAAAACACCTTGGGCGCCTACCCGTCATTTTAACCAGACTTCGCAAATCCAACAAATCAATCGTTGAATGTTAGTTGGTAAAGATCTGGCCTTCATATTTTATTCCTTTCCCCTGACTGCTGGCCGGATGTCGAGGCTCGCAATACACCCTTCTAAATCTAAAAGCTCGAATAGATGCACCGGTCATTCCTTGACGATTAGGCTGTTATAGCACCACCTAACCTTGCTGACTTAACTTGGTATTACTTTAAACATAGTATCAACTACTGTATCATCGACAATTCTCCCATGAGATTAGAAAAATGTCATCGATGCTACTTAATACTGCTTGTCGTTATTATTATTGTTATTGTTTATTTGGTCATGTATATTGGCTTCTCTAGTAATAAGTCAATAGAACGATGGAACACCTGGATTGATTTCAAACAACCAACCGACAGTGATGGAGACGGTTATGTCATATCCTTTATCGACTTTATTACAGGCCTATTCGATAGCCGCGGCGATGATACTGATGATGGAGGATAATGGCGTTTGACTATGGATAAGTTTGGCCTCAGCACCGATTTCCAAGCAAGATCATGCACCCAACCTTCACAGATATTAGACTCACCCAGTCATGTACATATTGGTGCAAGGATACTGTGGAAATGCGCTATGAAGCTTTGCGCTATAGTAGTCTTAAATCTTGTTCTTGACACACATTGAAGTATGGTCTACTCTGGAAAGCAAAACACGTTTGAGGATGGAAAGCTTTGGAAAAGTCACCGGCATTTAGTTCATTACATCTTCTGGCCGGAACTGCAAGTTTTGAATCCCTTCTCAGCACCAGCGCTCGATACCGTACGAAGAATTGGTAAGGCTGCATCGCATTTGAAAGAACGAGGTAGGCGCTGCTAATTTAATCCCAGCGAGACACAATGTGGGTGTTCGGCTTAGACCTCGATGAAGTCCAAGTTATACACCAGCCAATGCTTCGAAGTGCGAGCTCCTGTCTCGCTCTGTATGACGCCAATCTGGTATCTCCTCAAATACAGGATCTCCTAGCGAGAAGCGCATTAGAATTGCGGCTTTCAGGAGTGCCATCACCGGCTGGTTCATGACGTTCGCCTTGGAGTCTCAACGTTTCCAACATGTTGCCCAAGTAAAGGACCATAACAAGATAGGAAAATGACCAAGATCGCTTGAGCTTTGGTGCAAACTTGGCGCTGTTTGCCGCCAAGGAGTACAATAATAAGAAACATCTAGATCCAGAAGGCAGCGTCATTGGCGGTATCACGATGTATCTGATCTTGGGTACCTAGGGTAATCGGAATACATCAAAGAGGAGGGTACATTACATACGGATAGCTCGAGAATCCTGCAGAAACCAGACAATAGCAATAATAGTCCCAACTCGTGCCCTCAATAATCTGACAATATCCAACGTAGATTGGACAATAAGCACTGTAATCTTTGAATGTCTTTGTTCATGTCTCTAGACTTGATGATTACACTCAGATACACCTGTTTGTTCTGCCCTTGTCGTCACCCGTACAAACAAAATTCAACTGTGCAATGTGAGTTGGGGGAGAAGGGATGAGGAAGCTTGCATGGGTGGAAGAGAACTCAGAATGTAGTCTGCCCAGCGAACCGGGCTTGACGGTCTCATCATTGTTCATTTCCAAAGTACTTGTTACGACTTGCTGAAAACCGTGATGTAGAAGAAAGGAAAAAAACAGGAAAGGAATGGAATACCTGTGTGTGCTTGAGAAAATTGTGAGTGGGGACATCTTGCATGTATGCAGAAACTGAAATTGTCAATACGGAATGCAAAGGAATGTTAGCTTCCTGTGGAAGTAGGAAATTTGCGCTTCGGCGCTCGACTCCGGGGGTTGCTCTGCTAGTTATTGTTGCGAATTACATGTGAGCAGCCATGCGACTCCTGAGCATGGAAGGGGTGCACATTGACAAATTGCAGTTTGGGGTTCTTCAGGGCAATGTATTCAATACACCTGTTTCCAGCCGCCTTACATGCGGCATGGACAGATAGGCCAACCTTGAGGGGTGGATTGTGCGAGACGGCTATTGATATTTCTCTATTATTATTATTCCTAACATATACTCCAGCCTGTGACTTCCTGTCCTGCCTAGGTACCCCTGAGCGACTTGTAGCACCAAAACCGCAAGCTACCTCCGCCTCTGCTCAATAACTGACTATTACGAGTCCTCTCACAGAAACATGTCTGGCCACTTGGTCTAGTGGTATGATTCTCGCTTTGGGTTCTCATCTTGTTTGCGAGAGGTCCTGGGTTCAATTCCCAGAGTGGCCCGGTTAATTTGAAACATGGTGGTGGTTGTCTCAGCTTTTTGCATCCAAACTCACTTTTTAGTAAGCAGACCCTGGACAACACATATACAGTGAGTTAGATCAGGTCTATAGTTCACATAAGCAGAAGCTCAAAAGTGCCAGTTACCATCGCCCCCTTTAACCAATACATGAGGCTGCTCATTCCTCCCCGAATTCGCGTGTTTCCCCCTTTACCATGTCACCGCGATGCACTCGAAGGTGCACCCATTGATTCTCCTCGAATTCCATCTGCCGGTGGTTGACATCGAACAATCTCTTGTGTCTGGTTGCCGCGAAGTCAATGGCTACTTCCGCCTCCTATTGCCTGGTCTTGCGAAGGATGTTGAAGTGTGCGGCCGCCTTGATGACAATGTCCATTGCCTTGTCAGATGAAAGCGCATCGCATTAAGATACTTGTTTCCGGATTTCTTGCTATCACCATTCATATTGTTTGCTAGTCTATGCGATCGTCTACAGGAGTCGATGATAACATCCGATGTGAGTGTAGATACGTTGCGAGCGATATTTTCTGAAGACTTCACGCGAGGCTTCTTTTCAAGCGAGGCATTGTGTTATTGGAAATCGTCGGTGCTGGTAGGTCTGCACCAAGTGCCTGTGTCCTCTTACTGATCATGAGGTTATGGATATCGTCATGCTGGCGATTTCACGTTAGGTTCCTGGTTCGCTAGTTGTGTCACTATTATCGTCTACAGTGACAGTTAGTTCACAGCGTCCGAGCCAACTTCTTATTAACTGTACCCCCTTTCGGCTTGGAGTGTGGGAAGAAATTGCCCTTCTCATCGAAGCGATTATCGCGAAGGATAAGCAGGCTCAGAGCCCTATGCATATCGTTTAGTGTGTACACGCCGCCCAGAAAGTCCTCTTGCTTAATCTCAGGCTCATTAGGTGTAGGGTATGATCTCCTATATGTGAGGTCCCGGTCTCATTCAATAGTGTCTTGATATTGTTTTTGATATCGTTTCTCGTATCAAATTGTACCCGCATTATTGTCAAACTATACACACAAAAGGCTCCGTCATTGCCTCGGCGGTGGCACACCCCTCCCATACCTCCTCGCAAGCTGATTGGGGCCTACCGGCCTCCTATTCAGCTGCCGCCTCCTCTCAGCAGAGAGCGACTCCCTGAGCCTGCAAGTCAGGCGGTCTAGGATCCACTCGCTCTCCTCCTGGCTGCCCATGAGAGGGCTCCGATGCCCGACCCAGGACCACTTTAGCTGGTCAGACTGATCCAGGGTGGGGACGGCGACTCCCTCAGCGCCCACGTCTCGGACCTTCTCCCTTCTGCGGCGCCGGCGGCCCTTGCGCAGGTGAGCCACGTGGTGCCGTACTGTGCCGTCCGGAGAAGGGTTCAAAGGGTTGGCGCGGGGTTTGCCGTGGCTCGAGGGGTCTCTCTCGTCCTCGCCTATGAGGCGGAGGTACCAGGCCCACTCCTCGAACGTGTACCTGCGAGGCTCTTTCCGTCGGAGATGGCGGCTGACTACCTGGATCTCGGATATGAGCAGGAAGTGGAAATCGGTGCCGGCGGGCAGATCCTGGAGAGGGTCGCGGAGACGGGAGAGTGAGCGCCTGACTTTGGAGGTAAACGTGGAGCCAGCATAAGCTGGGCCATCTGGCTGGCTCTCGACCTCGCCACACCCTTCAGTGTCTTTCTCAAGCGAAGAAGGATGCATCCGGCCTCGCTTGATCGCCTTGACTTGGTGGTCAGGAGCTATTTCAACAGCTGATTCTAGGTCACTGGAGCCGTCGAAGTTGCCAGAGATATCATTACGAGGGTCCAAGACTGGCTGGATATAGTCAGGGAAGCACCGTCCCAAAGTCAGCCTATTCGCAGCGTACTTCAATTCGCCGAGGAAACGGTCGTCCCCGGGGAGAATGGTAA